ACATGGCTTATGCTCTTGATAAGAAAAAGTGTTTTTATCTTCATCTTCATCAGGTTTTTTCAGTTCCTCTGTCAAACATTCAAAATCAGCATATACAACAAAAGGACATCTTAACTTTTTGAAGTGATGCTTAAAACTAACTTTCTCATAAGGCTTAGGCATTACTATTTGTTGTCCTCAACTTCCATGCATCCACTATCATAATGTTTATTTAATAATTCTTCATTTCTAAATCCATGATTACAATATTTACAAAAATAGGACTTACCATTATGATTACTTTTTTGATTATTAATAAGTCTGCTCAAACTTTTTATATACACATAATGACTGCAATCCTCATCATCAACTCTTAACAAATCAAAATGAAAAGAAGCATCTTTATTTTTCAATTTTCTACTAATAACAATTTGTTCATTATCATCAATTTCATAAACATTAATGGATATTGATTTATTATTTTCTTCAAATATATCTATATCATTATTATTAGCAGGAAAACTCACACCATCAAAAATCAAATCACTTTCTATCTTCTTGTAGTGAAACATCTTTTCAGGGTGTGCTTTATCACAAATTTTACAATATCCACACTCAATAGAATATTTAAAACACTTGTCATCTTGATTTTTAATATTGATACATGCCTTTTTCTTTTTAATCCATTCTGGAAGTTCAATATATTTGCCAGCTCTAGTCGGATTATATTTATTATACATGATATGAATATTATTAATATTGCTAATTATTAATCCTGACTGATACAAAGCCATATCTAAAATTCTTGTTTCAACATCAGGTCTCATTCTTTTCAAAGCATTCCTTAAATCCTCTTCATTTACAATAGTGTACGACCTTGTCCTAACTGTTACGTTTCTCTCCTCATCAAATAAGTTCATAACTTTCATATTTATTGTAGCATTCAGTTTCATTCCTCTATTCTCTTTCAAGTATTCATTAAGTTTGTCAAATTGATAATTAAAATAAGTCAATCCGTTCAACTCTTTTAAATGAATGTTTGAAATTGTGTAGGCGTTGCATATGCTCTAAAGGCGCTTCTTTCTTCTGTTATTACTGCTTTTTTCTTAATAGCATGTTTTAAAACCGTTCTTGCTCCTACTCTTTCTCTGATTTGATTTGCTTTGTAGTCATTAGTTTTCTTTACTGCTTCAAGTCTATTACTCAATCTATTGCTTATTGGTTTTTCTGGATTATATCTATACTGGTTGTTTCCTATAATTATGGTTTTAAGTTTTTTACCTTTATTATTTACTTTGTATTCTCCTAAATTTTCTTTAAGAAGATACTTAACTATTTTAGTGTTTTCATCTGGCGGTAAATCTCTATTCATATTATTAACTATATAATTTAACTTATGGTTTTCTCTTTAAGTCTTTTTAAAGTCAAAAAATTCTAAGAATTAGTCAAAATTATACATGTAAAGAAAGGAGACTATTAAAAATAATATATGGATAATAACAAATATGAAAATGGGAAAATACATCAAATAATTGATATTGGATACAATAAATGTTATATTGGTTCTACCTGTGAAGAATTACAGCAAAGACTGTTAAGACATAGATATAACTATAAACTATATTTAAAAGGTAAATATGGCAAACTAAGCTCGTTCTGTATTTTTGACGAATATGGAATAGACAACTGTAAAATAGAATGGATTGAAGATTATCCATGTAATAGTAAAAAGGAACTGGAAGCAAGAGAGGGTCTTTACATCAAGAAAACTGAATGCATAAATAAAATGGTTTCTGGTAGAAGCAAGAGAGAAAAACAAGACATAGCAAATGCTAGAGTTAGAGAAGATAGAAAAATAAACAAGGAGAAATACCAAGAAGCAAGACTGAAAAAAGGGATATTTGTAATGAAAGAACTAGAAGATGGAAACTGCAACATCCAGAACAAGTGGAAGAATACAATAGCAAATGGCGACAAGACAACAAAGAACATATCGCTCAAAAAGTCATTTGTGAAATATGCAGTTCGTTGATAAGAAAATATGATTTAACAGTCCATCAAAAGACAATCAAACGTCAATCATTCACCAATAACAACTCATGTCTCAAATATTGTCTCTTCAAACCTTCTAATACATAGTATGTTTGTAATGTTATATCTTTTTCTATCTTTTCTATTTTGTATTTCCTTTCTGTCCACTTTGGTCTCTTTATATGATGTATAATTACCTTTTCCTTTTTGGTATATTTTCACTGTGTCTGAAACAGATAATTTAGGATATTTTCTCATATGCTTTTGCTTCAGTGTAAGGTTTGCTTGTACATTTGCTCTGTTGTCATCATCATGCGCTTCATTTGGTTTCATTCCAGTTGATGAGTGAATAGCGCTATTATATTTCTTTAATGTAGGTTTCAACATATCAGTCCATCTACCTTTAGTAAAGTGTATTCTGTCTCCTATTCCTTTTTTCATCGTTCTAATCAATCTCTCCACAATATTGGCATGTGTTAGCGTTGTTTTATGTATTATACCTAAATCATCTAAATATTTCTTTACTTCTGCTTTAAATGCTCCATCATCATCAGAAAAGATTTCCACAGGCTCACCCATAACTTTAAATGCTTCTTTCAAACCTTTCAAAACGTTTGGACTGTCTCTTTGAAACATTGGATACACAAAACCTAATTTACTGAAAGCATCTATTACAATCAATGCATAGCGTTCTTCATCTTCTTTCTTAAATATTTTCATATCCATAATATCTATTTGAAATTCTGCTCTGGCATATGGCACTAAGAAACTGTTATAATTCTGATACGGCTTTATTTGCTTGTTAGGTTGCTTCTTCAACCACTTTGCCACTTCTTCTAATGTTACACTTGCTCCTTTCTCTTTTGCTTGATTGTATAAGCTTTGTTTAGAACCATAACCTGTTTCTAAATCATAGTAGATATTGCTCATTATCTCCTCATTACTTAGTTTACTCATATATTGAAATTGGATTATATTAATTAAATTAAAATTAAATTAATATTATCCAATTAGACTTTACTTTTAGTACTCTGGCACTTTCTACTTTTTTCATGTCTTGATTTGTTAGAACTGTTGGCCATTGATTTTCCACAAATATTACATGTATAAGGTTTATTAAGTTTTTCTTGAAAGTATTTTTTATGATAATCCTTTTGATATTGTTTCTCTTTATTTTCTTTTGTTTCTTCGCTATCAGTAGGACTTGGCAACACATCAGCATCTGAACTTTTATAATGTCTTTCAATGTCACCAGCAAAACTACTATTCATAAATAACATATTCATAAAGTCATTATAATCATCTTCATCATGTATTCCTCCTAACAATCTATCGCTTCCATCATCTGAGTGTCTGCTATAGAATGGCATTTATCTTATATAATAAAGTCGTTATTTCTTTAAGGCATTTTTACAAATTCTTGTATTATTTTTCTTCTTGCCTCGGCTGCTTTTTGTATTTGTGCTTTCTGGGCTTCTGCTCCTGCTTCTTGTTTCCATTTGTTCCCTCGTCCATTCACTACCTCTTGCTATTTCTTGGGGCGAGTTGCTCCTGCTTCTTGTTTCTATTTGTCTTCTGTTCATTTGATTACCTCTTGCTCTTTCTTCTGGTGAGTGGCTTCTGCTTCTTGCTTCTACCTGTCGTCTTGACCAGAATGATGCCCTCGGTTGTTCTTCTTCCTGTTCCCTTGATTGTTCTGATGGTGTGGATGTCTTCTTGTCACGTTTGAATAGTTCAAATACGCTCTTGTCTTCTCCACCTAAAAATATGTTTCTTAACGATTTTATTTCTCGGCTTTCCTCTTTCTTATCTTTTTCGGTTGATGCTGATGACGATGATGATGTTAAATGAAGACTTTGTAAATCTTCCTGCTTTTCATCTTTTGGTTCATCTTTTGGTTCATCTTTTGGTCCTGAAAAGTTGCATTACTATAAATTTCATCAGTAAAATCTTTTGCTATATATCGTGTTGTTTGTGCGTCTGCCTCGTTGTTTTCATATAACTGTGATGTTGGCGCTACTTCATCAAACATATCAGGGAACAATTCGTGTTGAAGAACTTGTTCATCAGTTTGAACCCTAGCATTCAACCGTAGTCTCCTATCGTATTTTGAAAGGTCAAAATCGTCAAAATCTATATTGTTGATTGACAAGTCAATTACCTGTCTTTCGGGGATGATTTCAATTTTTAATCTGTGCGTCATCGCTTCCTTTAGCATTTCTTCAAAAGTAGGGCGTCGGCGTAATCCATAATATTTATTAGTCATATTAAATATTATATATTTTATTAAACTTCCGCTGGTATTTCTTTAACCGAACCATCCATCACGGTTAGACTATCTTCTTTTTCCTTAGGTCGTGGGTGGAAAACTGAGTAATACGCTTTATCATTGTAAAACCTTACTAATTTCAATCTGTGTTCCTTCTTGATAAAATCACCATCGCTATTAATTAAAGCATTATATAACTCAGTGAATTCTTCATGAACACTGTCTTTAATCTTTCTAAATCCTTTCAGTTTGTCCATGACTGTTTTCATCTCTTCTGGTCTGCTTGCAAGATAAGCGGGTGTTAGTTCAGACGCTCTTTTCTTAAACTCGTTGTAACCATAAGCGTCTTCTGCTTTTGATTCTACTTCAACAACTCTTAAAAGCATTCCCCTTGGCCCACTTGCTTAAAAGCATTCCAACATTATGGAGGCCGCCGCGGAGGTTTTGGTTTGGATCCCAAAGAACATTCACTGCCGCGTTTCGAGGAAGAAGCATAGTGTTTACCCTGGAATACGTCCCTGAGAACACCCCCTCCAAACGTGATGAATCCCGCTGAAAACCAGGGACACCCCTGTATTAATAAATACGGGAGTGTACTAATCCTTGGTCAACTTTCCCTCAAGCCCGAAAAAGCGGCCCCACGATCTTGAAAACGCCTAAAAATACACCCTTGGAACAACCCTAAGATACACAGCCTCAAACGCCATTCGTAAAATGAGCTTCAGCCGAGCGAAGCCTTCCGAGACCCACGCCTGCACACGCTCCACACCTTACTAGCGGGGCCCTCGATGGTGGTGCCCAGCGCATTCACCGAGTGTTTTAGCTTCGAGGCCTTCGGTGCGTCGGATCGAGCGCGCAAGTCCCCCCCTTTGGCTAAAGCAGCTCGTCACCAGCTTCATCCCACCCCCCAGCTTCCAATGCCTGCTTCACCCTTCTCCCTAGTACTGACCTTCTTTTAGGGGTCGTTTCCTCGCCAAAACGCAGCCAAAACAGCCCACCTGAAGCGGGCTTGTCACACAATGAGCGGACCTCACAAAAAGGTTGGCTTCCTTGTGGTTTGCGTTTGGGAACATGCACAACCCAAGCCCGGCTGAACTTGCCCTTCGCCGAGCTGCCGCGATGACTTTGATCGCTGCATCCACGTGCTTCCACTTGTGCTTGGCGTTGCCCGGTGGGGACGGCAGCACTTGCAAGTCTGCTAGCAGCACAGACATCCGGACGGCCAAAGAGTGGCCCTAAATGGGGGAATCAAAGACGCACTGTATTTGTTGTTTTTCCTGCCACGGCATGCCAATGGAGGGGTGCTGACTCTGCACCGGCCTGCGCGGATTTGCTCCTCTAGGCCACGGATGTGGTGCATGACTTGAGCCCAGCTGCCAGGGTGGAAACAACTCTGCAGCACATGTTCATGAGGGGCGTCTTTTTTTGGGGGGGCCTCCAGATAGTGGCGCTCCTTTTGGTTTCCCTTTAAAACCTACCAGAAGGAGTATCCTCAGAAAAGACACCCCCATAACCAAACACATGTTGGCAAATTCCGGAAGAAAAAAGCAAGGCTTCTTCCAATTGTCGGGATATCCATCACACCTTCCAAGCCTGAGTCACGCGAGGTTGGCTTGCCTCGTGTCTGCCCATGTTCTTTTGTCGTCCGAGTGGGTGGTCTTTTTTAGGGCACCCCCCAAAGCCGCTCGCCCTGTCGCCTCGCAAAGAGCGGCAGCCAAGGCGGGGTCCAAGCTCCAGGCCGCAGAGCTCGCCTCATGGGAAGGGCCGATGATTCCATGGGTCGGTCCTCTTGGCGGAACCCCTTTACCAAATGGGAAACCCTCAAAAAACGACGAAAAAGCAGCCCATATATAAACTTGGTACACCCAGCAAACCCCAGTTCGGTCTTGTCTGCCTATGGTTGCTGGGTCCAGTTTGCAGGTTTACTCCTTTTACCAACCAAGCGCTGGGGCGTCTCAAGACCTTCTGAAGGCATATCCTTTTCACACATTCCCAATTAGAGTCAAATGTTTCCCCGCAAGATTGACCATACTCCTGGAGGGTTAATGAGGCGTCCAAAAGCCCAGGCTAAGACTGTAGTATTTCTACTTTGATTGCAAGTTCGGGGTCTCGTCAAGAGGTCTGTTAGGGGAAATGTTTGTGAGTTGGCGGTCTGGGTCTGAAGTCTTGCGTCCAGAAAAAAATGCTTTGTCTCCAAAGGGACATGGGTGGCTTGTCTTTTCTTCAGGGTACCTTTCTTTCTTTGGCTTCGAAAAGGAAAACCTCTCTGAAAACCACCTGTTTGGGGGTCCCCTTGAAGAAAGAGGCACACCCACATGCAATTTCGCCCCTCTGAGCTCCAGGCCCAGAAGCGATAGGCTCGCAGTACCCGCAGCCCGTCGTCCCGCAGCTCAGCCGAGGCGCTCAATCGGAAACCAATCAAAATGAGTGGGTTCCCTTGCCCTTTCAACCAACCAAAGGGGTGAAAACGACACCCGGTTTCTTGGCGAGTCAGGCCAAAAAGTTGGGGCGCCTTTGGGTGCGGGAGGCATCAGTTCCGGTTTGGTTTGGTACTTTCGTGTTGACTGTTTTGCTTGGCAGCTTCCGATGTGTTGCTTGGTTTTTGAGTTGCGTAGTTAGGCGGCCCCCATTTGGACGAGCGTCGAAGAGGAGAGAAAACAACCGAAGAGGACCGAAGTGGTACTCGGCCCCCTAATCATAGTTGTGTTCTTCCTCGGCATTGCTATTCAATGGAAGAGGGCCTGACAAAAGTGATTTTGAACTTTTTCTTGGATGGCCAAAGTTGAACAATTATGTGCTTTTTCCCGGCAGGCAGCTAGCAATCGGCGCCGGCACAGCCGTAGTCTTTGCGCGGCACCTACAATCATGGCTAGGATGACGTTTGGTTGCGTGTTGATTGTTATCCGCCCCTGGCGACCAAGGTAGGTCTGCGGTGCTCCACTTTCCTGAGGTCAGACGCAAAAGAAATTGGCCGGAAAAGCAAAGTCACTGACGAAAGGGGGTCCCCATTTTCAGTCGAAAATCCTGGGATGAAAGAAAACGAGAGAATGGCTGAAGGCCGATCTTACATGACTGGTAAGCGGCTACCCTTGGCACAAAAGTCAGCCTTGAGACTCCCTTTTCCAAAACCAACAGCAAGGTGGGTCTTCAAAACGTACCCAACTCTCGTTTGGCCAAGGTGCAACACAACAAACGCAGATGCCAAAACAGTTCGGCGGCAGCCAACGTCGGATACCACTTGCAAGCGTTGATCACAACACTTCGACTTCGACCCATCTTCAAGAGGACGTGAGTTTCCAACCCCCTCCTGTCCTCCATGATTGTTGGAAAGAGGGTAATGCTGGCCTTGTCGACGGTTCTTTCCCGCTTCTTGGACGCATGCGTCATAAGAGTCTGCTGAGCTTCAGCAATGCGCAACCCAAATTGCGCAGCGTGGCACAGCAAGCTTTGATCACCTGCCGCCTCGAAAAGCCATAAAAGTTTGCTCCGCCTAATGAGACAACCCGATCTTAAAACAATGCGCACCTTCTTGGAAGGTCAGCAGTTTGGCACAAGAGCCACGGTCAATGTTTGTTGTGTCCCCCAATTGAATTTTGATGAGCAGCCCCCATGTCCAAATGGTATTTCATATGCCCCATGGCACCCCTTTTACTACACTAGGCGACAGCAAATATTGTCCGTTGCTCGAATGCTCATCGGCCTATTTGCCCAATGGAACGAACCTACACGGTGAATGAGTATGGCAGCGCTTCGGGGCCATCTTCATCCGGCACCACTTCGACCATCTCCTCAGTCGACCCGCGCGCATGGATGCTTTGCGCTCGCTTGCGCACAATATGGGTATCTCCGAATCAGGGGCCCCTAAAGGTAGTTGGCCTCTCCTGCAAAACAACCGCAAAGGGAAAAAAAAGAAGGATAGTCAACTTTGAAAGGGGGGCCTGTGCACTTCCACGTTGATGGTCAGGGTAGGCAAAATTGCTATAACTAGCAAAGTCGCATCTTAGGAAACACACTTCAAATATCCATATCAGGCCAGAGTAACATGGACTCTGCTCCAATTGCCAAAGTGGTCACATGAAGATGTTGCTCTTTGCAATGGCTTGACTTGGTACATGTGACCCCAAAGAATTGAAATAGTACGGGCACAAGGGACATCCTACCATTTGCCCAGCGTCCCAAATTTCGAAAGTAGAAAACAAGGATTTAAGTTGCCCAATTTGACCATTCATTCCTCTTGGCTTTGTCTTTTTGTGATGGTACCTACAACATGCTGGTCCTTCTGGTTTCCCTTTAAAACCACCACAAAGGTGACATCCTCCAAAAAAGACTCACCTATTTCATGCACCAAAAAAGACGGACTCGATCGATCCACGTGATTTTGGCCGCTCTGGATCTACTCGTGCAGCTGTGACTCGGTGTCGACGCGCGGCAAGCTCAAGTAGGCATCTGTACCTCACGAATCGGCTCGTAAATGAGCCTGTCTCCTTTTAGGGGACCCACCCCCAAAAATGGTAAAAAGGGGGGCCCTGGGGGAAGGTCTGTTGATGGTCCCCTGTTCTGGTTTTTATGTTCATCTCAAATCTGTGTTCCCCCTTATTCGTTTTTAAAAGAGGGTTTTCGGGGAGCTTATTTATCGTTTTCGTTAAGGTAATCATTTTGGTAATTGCCCCCCTTGTTCATTGTTGGGCTGGGGGCCGACATTTTTTTCATTTGAAAGAGTTAACCCTTTTAGTAGTTATCAAGTTCTGGGGTGTTGGTGGTGTATTTGTTTTGTTAGTGTTTTTCTCACTAATTTTCATTTATAGGTTAAAAGTTCAGTATAATTATAACATATAAGATTTTACATGTTATTATTATATTATGATTATAATTTCAGTTCAGGATAATAATCTAATTGGTTTGTCTTACTTCTTTCATACATCATTTTAAAAATAATATTAACATCTCTCACTGTATTCTGAACATTAAACTTTTTACTTTCAATAAATAATTTGATATTTTCTTTAACATCTTCTCCTTTCTCTTGACTATAACCCAACATCCATAATATATCGTAAATCGTGTCATATTTTTCTTACTGATTTTAAGAAACTGTTTAACATAATCGTAAGGTGGTATTTTATTTACAGTTAGAAATATTAAAATATCATCTTCTACATTTCTATTATTTATTCTTTTTATTTCCAACAGACATTTGATTAAAAATTGATTATCTCTCCATGTTTTACAATTTTTACATATGTCTTCTTCACCATCCATTGAATAATTAATAATATTATTCATTAGTTCATTAGGTAAACTCAATCTAAACAATTCCATATTTTCTTTTTTGAAGTGACAACAATCATAGCATTTTTTTATCGATATAATTATTGATTCCATCACCATTCATTTTCCTTTTAATATATAAGGTAATCAAGGAGACCTCTCCCCCATTTTCAGGGAGACCCACATTCAAGGAGCCCTCTCCTCCAATTTCAGGGAGACCTCTCCTCCAATTTCAGGGAGACCCACATTCAAGGAGCCCTCTCCCCCAATTTCAGGGAGACCTCTCCTCCAATTTCAGGGAGACCCACATTCAAGGAGCCCTCTCCCCCAATTTCAGGGAGACCTCTCCTCCAATTTCAGGGAGACCCACATTCAAGGAGCCCTCTCCCCCAATTTTAGGGAGACCTCTCCTCCAATTTCAGGGAGACCCACATTCAAGGAGCCCTCTCCCCAGGGAGACCTCTCCTCCAATTTCAGGGAGACCCATTTTCAACTCCCCCAAAACCAACAAATACATAAACTTTAATGTTTTCAGTTTCAACCTCATCCCCAAACCCACATTTCCAGTTTCAAACCCAAATCCCGAGCGACCCGACCAACCGAGCCTGCCCCGCTAAACATCTCTAATAATTTCATTCTTATTAGAGATATTTAGATATTAATATTTTCACATACATATCGTTGATGTTTGTCGCTTCGCTCGTGCCTTCTTATATCACATTTCCTAAAAACACCACCACATTCACATTCAATAGTTTCTTTTCTTTTTTCAAGGATTGTTTCTTTGTTTTGATGGTAATGTTCCCTACTTTTATCACATATATGTTCCTTGTTCTTTTCCGAGTATTCCTTCCTCATATGTTGGTAATGTTCTTTATTATCCTCTTTCCACTCATTAATTGTTCTACCCGCCACACATCTATTCACACAATCATTATTTTGAATG